TGGGGCAGAGAGATAGATTTGGGGCCAGGTTTGGTTTTTAAAAAAGTCCTTTGGAGGAAAAAATATATTTTTCTGCCTTTTTAATATTTCCTTCTCTGGGCTAATTTCCCTCAAAAGCCTCACCCATTTTTACATGTTTCACACATGCAAAAATAAAAAATAAAAATCAAGATGGCGGCAGCCACGACGGTGCAATCCAAGCTCTGCCCGCTTTGATCTCATCACGACAGCCATTTTGTGTGTGTATGTTTTTTTTAATTGTGTTCTGCAGACGTCCCTGCTACAAAGCCAAAACCAGAGACATTATAGCCCAAACTACCTCACAGGGTTGTTGTCATGGGAAAAATAAGAGGCGGAGGGAGTTATTAGGTATGTTGGCTGCCTTGCATTGTTTATAAACAAGAATAAAGGTGCCTCAAAGGTGGTTTTTTTTTTCTTCAAAAGGCAACCAGACTTGCTTGTTTTTTGTTTGTTTTTGTTTTTGTTTATTTTTATTCACATAAAAAACAGTGCAGCTGCCTTTTGAAAAAAAAACAACAATTTTGCGAGAACTATGACCCGGATTACTGAGCATCTCCATAGGCAAGAATAAAAGTAGGATAAAAATAAAAGAGTGTGGGGTTGGTTTTATTAATTTAATAATTATAAAAAACAACAGAGCTCGGCTGATTTAGAAACCTAAGCCATATTACTCTGGTTTTTAGCTGGATGGGCAACCAGGAGAAAAGGCAGTGAAGTTTAAAAAGTCAACACGGCAAAGCGAAAGCTTCCCCAGAGGCAATAACAAAAACCCAAGGCCAAGAAAACAAGATAGAGCAGATTTGTCTTGAAATCCCCAGGAGTTGAGCGTGGCTTTAAACTTTTCTCGTCTTCTTTGCCATTTTCCCAATAGGGATTTCAAAATAAGTCACACGCCTCCTCCTTTGTCTCTCTCGTCAAAACAAGGAAATGGTGACTTTTCTGTGGTGAGGCAGTCGTTAAAACCCCAGGCATCCGGCACAGAGTTTCTCATTTTAATTATTTTTAGCTTGCAGACTTAAGAGTCCCCCCGAAGCTTGTTTCGTCTGCCCAGAATTTGGCCTCTCTCACCAGAGTCCCAATTTGAATGCAAACAACAAAAAAACCCCACCAACAAAAAAATCCTCCAGAATCATAACCCGTGTTGCAAAGTCTGAAAGTGCGCACATCACTTTTCTTTTTGGTTTTTGTTATCTTTTCTGAAGGGCTTGGGGGGGGGTGGGAACCACAACTTTGTGCTGTGCAATGTTCGTGCCAGCAGAAATGGAGGAGGGGCGGTGGAAATGTGCAACTTCTCTAGGCTGGTGGAAATTCCCAGAGACAAGAAGTCTGTGCTTATATTACTTCACCTTGAGAAACTGTAATGTTTTTGATCGTCACTTTCCCTCTTCTCTCACTTCGAGCAGCTCATCCTCCGGCCTCTTTCTTAACCTTCCACAGGCAGTCCTCGACTTAGGACCACAAAAAGGGGGCCAGAAATCCCACTGCTAATTATTGAATCAGTGGTGCCCAATCTTACCACCATTTTTTTGGTCACGGTGGTTAAGCGAATCATGGCAGTCGTTAAGTGAGTCACGCAGTCGTTAAGCGAATCCCGCTTCCCTTGTTTGACTTTGTCGAAGGCAGCTGGGAAGGTCGCAAAGGGGGGATCACAACACCCCAGGAGGCTGCAACCGTTGTGAATACATGCTAGTTGCCAACCACTCAAATTTTGATCATATAAGACGGTGGGGAGTGTTGGGACAGTCGTTAAGTGTGAAAAACAGTCATAAATCAGTTTCTCAGTGCCACCTCAGTCACTGAACGAACGGTTGCGAGTTGAGGACTATCGGAATTCCTCCAAATCCTATCTTAGCTTTTCTTCGAAGATAAGAGTTGGAAGGGACTTTGGAGGTCATCTAGTCCAACCCTCTGCTCTGGCAGAAACAGCAGGCAGAAACTTGCTAACTGTACCAGGCAACCTCTTGGGAGCTTGAGATGGGATGGCTGGAATGAAGTGTGCTTGTGGCATGTGTGTGTCAGAGAGAGTGAGAGAGGGAGAGAGAGAGAGAGGGAGGGAGAGAGGGAGGGAGGGAGAGAGAGAGGGAGGGAGGGAGGGAGGGAGGGAGGGAGAGAGATCCTCTCTAACAGAATAACAAGAGTTGGAAGGATCTTGGAGGTCTTCTAGTCCAACCCCCTGCTCAAGCAGGAAACCTTATACCAGAGGTCCCCAACCTTTTGGGCACCAGGGACCAGTTACTTGGAGAGAGGTTTTTCTGTGGACCAGAGGTTGCGTGGTTTTGTGTGTTGCCTGCATCCTATGGATGGGGCTTTGCTTATTTGTGCAGCGCAATTGCTGGCATGCTGTGGCCCAGTACTGGTCCACGGGCTGGGGGTTGGGGACCCCTGCTTTATACCATTCCAGACAAATGGCTGTCCAATCTCTTCTTAGAAGCCTCCAGCGTTGGAGCACCCACGACTTCTGGAGGCAAGTTGTTCCATTGGTTAACCTAACGGTTAACACAGCAACTTCATCCCCAACCTCCCTGTTATCTATCCTGTTATCTATCCAGCTCCCACAAGGCTTAAAAGTTTGCCAAGGCTGGACATCCTTGATCTATACTTCTAAAATCCTTGTACCGTATCTGTAACCTTTTACTGGGCAAAACAACTGTATTCCAGAGCAGAACATTTTTTTTTTACCAAGGTATCTCAAATGGACTAATTCACAAGAATCTGGAGGCCCTGGCTCCCATGGAAATTTATGAAATTTGACAAATTTCGTAAAACATTTCATGACCTAAAAATGATCCATATTTTACTAGATAAAATAAAATGTCATAAAACCTTTCCGGTACTCAGCTGCTAATGTTTGGCTGTATTATACAGTTCAACATGGGCTACTTTCAAGGCAGAGACATCTCTGAATGCCTCCCTCAATTTTTAAGAAATTTTCAGTGGATTAGAAGCTCTGCCATTGTTGGAGGCAGTGAGGAATCTGCTAAGGAATCTGGTGTCTCTCAAATGATGACTCACTGGTTGTCTGGTTTGTCATTATTCTTGTGTAAATCCTGTGTTTCTCTTGTATAACACAAAGTGATGGGCATAATGCTCCCACCTCCTACTTTCTCCACAACAACCCTGTGAGGAAGGTTGAACTGTGATAGAGTAACTGACCCAGTTGGCTTTCGTACCCAAGGCGGAACTAGAATTCAGACTTCTGGTGATTGGTCCAAAGTCACCCGGCTGGCTTTCACATCTATGGGGGAACCAGAACAAACCACCTCCCAACTATGGGAGAACCAGAACTCGCCTCCTTCCAATTTCTAGTGCAACCATCACACCAAACTAGTTCTCAAATCACTGGAAGTTTTTAAGAACAGACTAGACCAGGGGTAGGCAACCTTGGCCCCTTCATGACTTGTGGACTTCAACTCCCAGAATTCCTGAGCCAACCATGCTGAGGGGAAAGGGAGGTTTCCAAGCTGAGCCATGCTGGCTCAGGAATTCTGGGAGTTGAAGTCCACGAGTCATAAAAGATCCAAGGTTGCCTACCCCTGGGCTAGACAGTCACTTGTCTGAAATGGTATAGGTCATGGTGTCAAACACGTCATGTGACGTGTTGTGACATATTGCAACTTTTTTTGCATTGTTGGAGCTGGGGTGGGCACGGCCTCCATATGATGCAACTGGGCCGTGAGCCGGCAGTATGACACCCCTGGTATACATTCTCCTGCTTGAGCAGGGGGCTGGACTAGAAGACCTCCAAGGTCCCTTCCAGCTCTATTCTATTCTATTCTATTCTATTCTATTCTATTCTATTCTATTCTATTCTAGTCTAGTCTAGTCTAGTCTAGTCTAGTCTAGTCTGTTTGCTAATCTGGGCCTTGTGACATTCTGCACAAACTGAAAACTTGAATCCAGCTCCGATTCAACCTTCCCCAATTTGGACGTGTCTGACTCAGTTGGAATACAAAACCCATCAGCCAGCAGGGCTGAGCATCCAGAGGGCTTACATGCAGGGCCTTTTGGGCCTCCACATAAAACCAGGAGAAGAATGAGCCAATTTCTCCAAGTTGGGTGAAAATCCATGTTGTTGCCCCTTTATTGTTTGTTTGCGGCTGGTTAAAGACAGCAGGTGAATGCTAGGCCTGGGCGCACATGCACGTCTAATAAGCAACTTTCTCCCGTCCTTTGTACCCCAGATCACAAACCGTGGGCTTATCAGTTACAACTGTCTGGGCCCCGAAGCACCCATCGGCCGGCCGCCCGAGGTGGGGCAAACAAGCCCCCATCGGTCCCACCACAGGGGCAGCTGCCACCCAACACCCCCTCGTTCTCTCCTCGGTCCGCTTTCCTGGAATCAAGCCCCCATCGGTCCCACCACAGGGGCAGCCGCCACCCAACACCCCCCCCGTTCTCTCCTCGGTCCGCTTTCCTGGAATCAAGCCCCCATCGGTCCCACAACAGGGGCAGCCGCCACTCAACACCTCCCCCCCCCCGTTCTCTCCTCGGTCCGCTTTCCTGGAATCAACTCGACCGATTCCAGCGAGGATCGGTGAGCGCGTTCCCCAGCGGAGGAGCCCCTCGACGGAGCGGTCTTCCCTGTTGCGGGACCTCCCCATCGTCCGCCCGGACTTCCCCGGGCTCGCTGGGGCCAGTGCGCCACCCGGGGCAGGGCGGGGCAGGGCAGGGCAAGGCAAGAAGGCCACCGCCCGGGCAACCGCCAACGCCTCGAGGGCGCTCGGACTGGCCCGACGGCGGCGGTTAGAATGAAGCCGCGGCGGGGGGGGGGGGAGTTGCGGACGGTCCTGGGCAGCCGCGGTTGCCAGCCAAGCGAGAGATCCGGCAGGCAGGCAGGCAGCAACAGCAGTAGAGGCGCTGCTCTCCGGGCAGGAAGAGGAAGAAAGAAAAAAAACACCACAACCACAAAACAAAACAAAAAAAAACCCACAACGCAACAGCCTCCCGCCCGCCCCGCGTCTCCCTGCCCACTGGCCGATCCGAGCCCTTGAACCGGTTTCGCTGGTTTGGCGATTAACTTCCCCGCCCCTCCAGCCCCGCTAGCGAGACGCCTCTGCTCCCGAGCCGAGAGCGCCCAGAGCTTTGCAGGGAGGAGGACGCGGCCGTTGCGCAGCCAGGACTCCGACGGCCTTGCTCGCCCCGCTCGCTTTGCCCTCGCCCCGGCCAGCCTTTGCAGCAGCGGCCGGACGCTCCCGAGCCCTTTCCAGACGACCGTGCGCCTTTCCTGCTCGTTTCAGCCCGAGCGCCGGAGCCCAGGAGGAAAGCCAGCCGTTGGAGTGCCATGGCGCAGTTGGGTCTTCGGGCTTGGCTCCTAGCCGGGGCCTTAAGCGGGATCCTCCGCTTCTGCCAAGCAGGTGAGTCAGATCGCGGGAAAAGCAAGCAAGCAGGCAGGCTGCGGGTCAGCGGGTTGTGTGAACCCAGCCGACGGGGACGGTCAGAAGCTGGGTGAAGGGGCAAAGTCCTGGATCGACAAATGGTGTGTATAAGAATAGCGGCCCAAGGCAGCCAGACTCTTGCACGCCTCCTTAAAAAGTCACCTAGGAGAGTGTAAGCAACTTCAGATGCCTTTGGGATGTTTGGGACCTCAACCTTTGCAAGTCACCGGTCAGGAATTCTTCCAGAAAACATCTGGACACTGCAGGTTTCCTTCCTGAAAACATCTGGACACTGCGGGTTTCCTATGAACCACGTTGGATTAGCAAGGGGAGCATCTCCGCCAAGCTCAGATAAGGCCAGCTTAATGCCTCACACCAAGACTGTGATTTCTTATCATCTTGGGTTCTTATTATCTCGGGATGAGGTCGTCTTTCGCTAAGCCACAAACCATAATGCACAAAAGACTGGGTTCACACGTACAGGGAAAGCGAAACCGAGTAAGCCACTTTTATTTATGAAATATTATCTAAATCCTAGTGCAGTCCAGGTGCGGAACCAAATAGGCGGAAGTCCTTTCTCAGCCTCAGATATATTGGATGATTTTAAGCCAGTCTTAATTGCTCAGCTCAGCCTACTCCTAAGGCTTTGAGCGATTGTGTGCCATCAAGTTGTTTTTGTCTCCTAGGAACACACAGATCTCCATGACAATCTCAACCCCTACCTGATGTTTCAGGTATTCCAACAATACACTTCTATAACCAGGGCCGTTTCCCCCCTTGTTGCTGGTCATCAGTATCACTTCCTTTCCCGTTTTTCCACCATTAGACCCTTCTCCCAAAAGCTGGATCTTTCACGTGTATCCAAAATGCAGGCAGTCCTCGACTTACGATAACAACTGAGCCCAAACTTTTATGTTGCTAAGTGAGGAATTTGTTAAGTGACTTTTGCCCCCATTTTACGACTTTTCTTGCCGCATTTGTTAATTGAGGCACTGCAGTTGTTAAATTAGTAACACGGTTAAGTGAATCTGGCTTTGCCCACTGACTTTACGTGGCAGAAGTTTGCAAAAAGAGATTGCGTGACCCTGGGACACTGCAGCAGTCATAAATGTGAGTCAGTCGTCGAACATCCGAATGTCAATTACATGACCTTGGTGCTGCAGGGGTCGTAGTGTGACAAACAAATGGTCATAAGTCACTTTTTTCAGTGCTGTTGTAATTTTGAACGGCCGCTAAGTGGACTGTTGTAAGTTGAGGACTACCTGTAGAGTAATTGGAGCCTGGTCATTTGTGCCTTGAGTAGAGATGGGAAGGCCTGGAAAAAAATTGGAAAAGTTTGGGGAAAAAATGTGGGGTTTTTCCCCTGTTGTTTTGTTTTTTCTTTTTTTCCAAAGCTGGGAAAAAAAAGGGAGAGAAAAAGAATTCCCCCCCCCCAATTTTTCCAGGTTTTTTTTTTCAGGCCTTCCCATGTCTAGCCTTGCATGAGAACTCTTTGAGTTGGTTTACTCAAGTGATTTACTGGTTTTCTTGACCACCCACGGCTTTCCGAGGTCCTCCTCCAACACCAGAGTTCAAAGGCGTCAATACTCTTCCCTATCTTGCTTCTTCCGAGTCCAACTTTCACTTTCGTAAAGTGTCCCAGGGACTACCACGGCTTGCACAATTCTGACCTTTCCAGATACGGACAAGCAAAGATTGCGTAAACTGGTTTCAGTTGCAGAAAGGCAGAGAATACTGCATAAATCCGACAAATAACCGACAAGGTTAAAATGAGGGATGTGACTGCAGGGCAAAACATTTTCTGCTGGGTTTACCTTTTTAAAAAAACAAAACAAAAACCTGCTCACAAACCTCCATTTGGTGGTAGGACAGAACCTTTTGTGTCTTTAGTCGCTGGAAGAGGTGAGGCAGGTCAGGAGAAAACATGTATTTCATTGGACATGTGTAATCCTGGTCTCAAGGATTTCCTCTTTTTTTTCTCCTTTTTTCTTTTTTTGAATGTTGACATTTCTGAAAGGAAGCACTTTTCATGACTTGGAGATGGGGGGAGGGCAGCTGGGAGGTTTTTTTCCCTCCATGCTTCAAATGGTTTCGAAGCAGAGCTATCTATATCTCTGTCTATCTATAATATCTATCTATCTACCTATCTATCTATCTATCTATCTATCTATCTCTGTCTGTCTACCTACTTACCTACCTACCTACCTACTTCTATCTATCTATCTATCTATCTATCTATCTATCTATCTGTCTGTCTATCTCTATTTATATCTATATCTATCTATATCTCTGTCTATCTCTATATCTATCTATCTGCATCTATCTATATCTGTCTGTCTGTCTATCTGTGTATCTACCTACCTATCTACCTACCTATCTACGTCTGTCTGTCTGTCTGTCTGTCTGTCTATCTATATCTATTTATCTATCTATCTATCTATCTATCTATCTATCTATCTATCTATCTATCTATCTATCTATCTAATAATAATAATAGATTGGATGGGACCTTGGAGGTCATCAAGTCCAACCTCCTGCTCAGGCAGGAAACCTTATACCATTTCAGACCAATGGCTGTCCAGTCTCTTCTTAAAAACTTCCAGTGTTGGAGCATTCACAACTTCTGGAGGCAGGTTGTTCCACTTCTCAAGCAGAAAATCCTATAGCATTTCAGACAAATGGTTGTCCAATCTCTTCTTAGGATCCTCCAGTGATGGAGCACTGGATGATTCTAATTTTCAGGAAATTTCTCCTGGGTTCTAGGTTGCTTCTCTTCGTGATTAGTTTCCACCAGTTGTTCTTGTCCTGCCTTCAGGTGCTTTGGAAAATAGCTTGATTCCCTCTTCTTTGTGGCAGCCCCTGAGATATTGGAACACTGCTATCATGTCCCCCCTTGTCCTTCTCTTCATTAAACTAGACATACCCAATTCCAGCAACTGTTCCTTATATGTTTTGGCCTCCAGTCCCCTAATCATCTTTGTTGCTCTTCTCTGTACACTTTCCAGAGTCTCAACATCTTTTTTACATCGTGGGGACCAAAACTGGATGCAGTATTCCAAGTGTAGCCTTACCAAGGCTTTGTAAAGTGGTATTAACACTTCACGTGATCTTGAAGCTTCAAAGCAATTCCGGGCAGCTTACAGCACTAAAAGCAATAAAGCCATGAAAGATAAATGTTTTTAAAAGGGGTGTTTTCTCCTTCATGGGTCATTGCCTTGTGGTGGCAAAGGTCCTTGTGCAGCTCAAGGAAGCAATGAGCTAAGCCATGCAGGGCCACCCTAGACGGACAGGTCACAGTGGAGGCTTGTGACAAAACATGGTCCCCTGAAGTAGAAAATGGCAATGCAGTTCAGTATCTCTGACAAGAAAACCCCACGGGTGGTACCCAAAAGCTTTTTTTTAAAAAAAATGGTGTTTTACTTGATCTCGAAGTGAAGTTCATTTGGATTAAAGGTGCAGATGTGTAAGATCTTTGTGAAGAAAACATTCAGCAGGATAAACAGGGGGGGGGGGGAGAATGAAGCTGTTATTAAGAAGTAAACAGCTCTGAATTATCTTAAGCAAAGCATCCCGAACTGCAACTTTTCCTTGGTTGCGCTGAATGTCAAGGCAAGATTAAAAGCCATGTATCCTTGAATTATATTAGCTTGCTGTTTGGTTAGATTGATAGCCTGTCTTTGGTTAGCACCTGAAGGCAGCGTACCTGCTGCCAGGAGAATTTGCAGCAGGGGTCAAAATTTGCAAGCTCGGGGCTGCAATTTTGTAGATTTTGAGCGTTCCTTCATTCCCCCCCCCCACAATAACCTGGGGTGTTGGCTGGGCTAAGAGGGTGTAATTGGCCCAGAGTCACCCATGAAGCTTCTAAAAAGGGAAGATAACCCATATCAGGGTTTCCCTGATGGTCACCCAAAGACCAATCATTCTGAGCCATCATGGTGCAGCGCTCAACATACAATTGGCTAATTCTCTTATTGTCAGAGTCAAGCCAGACCAAGAAGAGTGTGGTTTTAAAGTGGCCAGTTTCTCCCAACCTCAATTCTCAGTTTTTAAATTTGGGGACACAGATGCTTCTCTATAGGGCTGTTGCAAAGGGTATATAATAGGATAAGTTTATTTATTTATTTATTTATGAGACTTATATACCGCTTTTAAGTGCAAGCACTCTCTAAGCGGTATACACCAGTAAGCAATATATATATATATATATTTACATTGCCCCCAACAATCTGGGTCCTCATTTTACCTACCCCGGAAGGATGGAAGGCTGAGTCAACCTTGAGCCGGTGAGATTTGAACCGCTGACCTGCTGAACGCAGTCAGCTAAAGTGGCCCGCAGTACTGCACTCTAACTGCTGCGCCCCCTCGGCTCTTCTGTTCTGTTAATCAGCGCTGCTGATTAATAAAAAAAGAGAATTGGGGGCCAAGGGGATGTTTGAAGTTTTTTGTTTCACAATCTTCTTGCTAATCTATTGGGTAGTAGCAAGAGATGCATTGATGGATGGATTGATTGACGATGTGCCATCAAGTCCGTGTTAAACTCTTAGCCAATACATACAGGTAGTCCCCAGTTTATAATCACAGTTGGCACCAGAATTGCCTTAACA